AAACAATAACCATGGGCAAGGACAAAATTAAAACAGGTAAGTCTCCAATCCCTGCATGTCTGTGTATGATATTTATGATTGGAACCAGCTCTAAATTCAGAATATGCATTGCAACCTTTGTAAATGATAGCTCATGCATACATGATCCATGGCCAAATTTTGAAAAAAACCATTTTGATCATAGAGCAACTCAAACTTTCTAAATAACATAAGTGCAAGTATGTAAATTAGAAAATGTAATAAAAATTCAAAATTCTGTTCTAGCCATTTTTGACCAAACTTTAGAGCATCATTAATAAATCTAATTTTGATCAGAATCAACTCAAACTTTTTACACAACATAAGAACATGTATGTGTATCAGAAAAATTATAAAAATGGAGAATTATCACCTTTTTAAGCAAAATTTGGCTAAAGATTGTGTACTATAGTACAGGACTTTGGCTCAATTTTTAGGTCACTTTTTAAAATACGTAAAAAATCTAAATTTGATCGAAATCAGCTCAAATTTTCTATGCAACATAAAAACATATATGTGTACCTGAAATTTTGGCCAAAGACCATGAACCTTTCCCCTTGCTTTATTCATCATGTAATTCATTCTAATGTGATCAGTGGCGGAGCTGAACCCGGGCCCACACGGGCCTAGGCCCGGGCATCAAAGCTCTGTAATGAGATTCATTAGATGCAATGTAATCAATTTCTTGCCCAAAGTTTAGATAAAGCCAACCACAAGCCTCACCAGAGTACTAACAAGTGCATACAGGTGCATATAAGCAATTAGCAAGCATTTTCAAGTAAAATACCCAAAGAAAATTAAAAAGCATCTATGGAAAAAGCTAAAAACAGGACACACCCACATCCAGGCCCGGGCATCAGTTTAGTTCCAGCTCCGCCACTGAATGTGATATCAAGTAGATACCTACATTAAAAATTTAAAAAAGATCGTTATAATGTGCAGAACAAGCTACACTAATTAGAAACAGTACAGTACATGTATGTACAATAAGCTTACAAGTATGGCAAAATGCTCATAATATGTCGATAGATTAAGGGTTCTATTTTTAGTCTGTTAACTCCGTTTCTAGTAGACACCTGACAACACGTGTAAGCCAATGAAGTAGGAGTGGCTTTTCTAAGTAGTAATGAATAATTAATAGCTGTTACTGCAGAAATCAAGAATGATGTCTGCTCTTTCCTCGGCTCTTTCACTTGCTGTCCTTATCCTATTATTATTGGTTGCTAGTAATGAAGGAGCAACAGGAGGAGGAGTATGTACTGAAGGATTCATGGACTTGAGTCTACTAGTAGCTAAAGCAGCTACACCAGTTGGTTCACTAGCTGATAATACTTTAGCTGAGGGCAATGAAGGAAGATGGATCATTAGACATAATACATTCATTTGTAGTATTGTTAATATAACAGAAGTTCTTATTGGGGTTGATATCAGATCAGAATATAGCAATAGGAACAAGTATCCTAGCATTGAGATATGGCAGTATGACTCTACTTTTCCTGGTTATTACCTGAATCCTGTGACTATTCCTATTGTACTGTCTCCTGATAATGTCACTACTAATGGATTGTATCGTTTCATTCTTCCAACTCCTTATAATATCAGTAGTATTGATTATTATACCTACAGACTAGGAGTGTATCAACCTGAAGATGATTCAAGTGTTGTTAGATTATATAGAGCAACCACTAGCAGCCCAAAAACAGTTGGAAGAATAAAAGCAGACTCCATTAGTCAATCAAATATCAGAATAAATGGTGACAATACACAAATAGATTTTAATTACAATGAAAAAAACATTTTTATGGTACATCTCAAAACAGGTATATATGTTATTAAAAATAAAAACAATTCTTACTATTTTATAGATCCTCTGAACTGCTTTCAAAATGTTTTCACTGAAACTGAAATTAATACAAACAGTCTATCAGTTACTAATGTAATACCAGTCAGTCATACAAGAGCTTTTCCTGATATACAGTTCACATGTAATGGTATTATTACTAACTGGATAATTGGTATTACACAGAATCAGGATACAAGTAAACATTATCCTAACATTTATTTAAAACGTTCTTCTCAACTGATTCATACACTAACTGTTGATGCTTCTGCTGCTACATCAAGTAATGGTAATGTATATAACTTTACAAGTGATATTGAAGTAGAGTATGGAGATATATTAGTAATCAATGTAACCACTAATAGTAATCCAATGTATTATCAACAATACAATGGACCCTTGAATTATCAGCTTGATAGCAGTAATGGATTAATACCATTGGAACATAATGACTATCCACTGATATCAGTTGTAGTAGGTAAGTTTAAAATTTTAACTATTCAGTATACTGATAAGTAATCAATTATTTTCCTTTTAGAGCTAATTCCTTCAGTGACTGAAACATCATCCTCTACTGTTACTGAAGACATTAAAACTGTTACTACAATGACAATACTATCATCCTCCACCACTACAACAGATATTGTAATAAGGCCTAATAGCATTCCAACATCAGCAGAAGTTATACATCACTCCACCAGTTTACATTACACTACTACTCTTTCCTTATTGAGCACTACATCATTATTCCCCACTAATGCCTTGTCAACCAGTGATACTACTACTAACACCAGTGCTCTATTGAGCAGTACTACTGGCACTAGTGCTTCAGTGATTAGTAGTACCAGTGCATTCTCGTCAAGTAGCTCAATCAATACCATCACTTCTTCTCACACTCTCTCTACTACTGAGTCAATAACTATACCATTGTCCAGTATTGAAAATAGTCGTTCAACAAAAGTCAGTCGTACACAAAACACTGTATCACGAGGCAATCCTACCAGTGAAGTATTAGTCACTTCAAAGAAGTCATCATCAAATTCCATTAGTGAATCATCTGTCACTAGAAGTAGTGACCCTACAGTATTAGGCAATACAGGAGATGATAATACAGTTACAATAATAGCTGCTGTTGTTGCTACAGTAGCATTACTGATAATTAGTATCATAGTGATATTGATATTGATAGCAATAGCATACAAAAGAAGAAGCAAGGCAACATTGACTTTTGGTGGAAATGACACTTGTCTTGTTAATACTTATTCTGATATTACTCCAAATGGAAAAGAAGACAAAGAATTAAAAGGTATGTGTAATCTAAATCATGAATCAAAAGGCACAGACATGTATATACATTATGCCAAATTAAACTCATGAAAATAAGCAATGTGACATTTCATTTTCATGTTGTTCTTAATAAAGTTTTGATATTCATGCAACTCCTGATTAAATGCATTATTTATAGTTTATGTATAATGGGTAGACATGACTATGATTATATTTTGGCTGTTATGATAATGTTTAATTATTATATTTTGTCTTTTATTGGAGCAGGTCCAATTGTGTATGAAGAGGCAATGCCAGTAATGAATGGAATAGAAACAGTTTATGGTGACACAATGATTGACAGTACACTGATTAATGTAATTAATCCAACTTATGGAGCACCAGAAAATGGTAGGAATAGTACATAATGGTTTAATGCATCAAGTTATGACCATTAGGTATTGGAGCATCTTCAGTTTATGAAGAACCAACTGTAGCCGTTAACAAAAAACAAGAAGTAATAAACATGATTTAAACAACATTCATATGCATAACATAAGCATTAATAGCGTAAACATCAATGGACTGAAGCATAATTAACAAAGACTTTAAGTTTATGTTTTGTACTTTCCTAACAGGATATTGAATTTTCTAATGAACTGTATGGACTATTGGAAGAAGCAACACTATATGTACCCACTGCAGTATGTACTAAATATATTTTAATAATTATGTTAATTAATATTATTAATAGAAAGAACGTTCTGGAGGAGAAAGTGAAAAAATTTACTCTACACTAATAAATGAATTGGTAAGCCTTAATCAATTGTGCAATATAGCTAAGTAATCATCATATAGTATTCCTCCACATATTCAAGACTTGATCATACTAGTGGTAATGCATTCTTTATAGAAGATACTGAGTACTGGGAACCTGATAGTAATACTGATGGTATATACCAACAATTATCTGATAGGAAATACATAGAAATTATAAGACACCAAATAAAGTAAGAGAGAGAGAGAGAATACATAAGGACAGTAACAGGAAGACATAATGTGAACAGTAACATGTATGGCTTCATGAATATGTACACATTCTCACTCCAATAGAGTAACAGATTATTTAGGATCAGGACAGTTTGTACAGT